GGAACCAGGTTTGCTAGATCCGTAACACTAAGTGTCCTACTGAATGAATACATTAGAATATACTAAAATTTAACATTTTTTACGAGTGAATTACTACGATTAATATTTTTATCGAGTTTGTGACTCGAGCGTTAAAAATAATAAGGTTATCAATGTAAATTAAAGTATAAAATTATTCTGTTAATATCGACCCTTGCTACTATAGCTAGTCGTTATGCAAGTGGCAAACCATGTTGTTGTTACAGGCCGACATAAATGCCCCCTTGCAATCTCTTATTTTTTTGGTAATCTCGAATGCCGTACTACCTTTTTAGACTGTTTTATTACTAACATTTTATAATTTATTACATGTTCATTATAATTTAGTTGACTATTACATGAAAATATATATATTTAAATTATAAAGAATTTTTAATGATATCAGTTTGGTACATAATACAATTTTTGTGATATTTTACTTTTCTTATAATTTATATTCAAATATTTTAAGAATTATTTTAAAGTAATATGCGTGGGTATTACAACAAAAGTGAGAATAAAAATTAAAAGTTTTGGTAATAGAAGAAAAAACAAATGGGAAGAGTACATTGAGGTAAAATATTTAGCAAACAAATTGGCTGTGTTATTTACATAAGTATTGGTGAAACCATTATATAGACGTAATTATAAATAATCGCATACCTTGTTCAAGCAATTGTTATTTTATTCTTATGTATGATAATATATTGTAATTTCAATTAATTAATCAAATAATTTGGTATATTTTAAACGTAGATAATTATAGTTTTATTTATTAATTTAGTTGTAAATAAGAAAAACATTAATATGGTATATTAGTTTTATTGTCAGAGCAACACATAAAATGTCTATTAAAAATTTATCACTTGTGGCTAATATTATTTTAAATTAAAATTATGTTAATAATATTTTTATCATAGTTTTAATTTTACATAAAATGTCCCTAATACATTTTTTTCATAGCATTAAAATATTTCTGACCTTAAACGAATGGACTATGTGAAACATTTTCGTAGAATCCATTATAATTTTGACATTCAACATACTTAGGAATAGACTTTTTAGAATACCTAGATAATTAATAGCACAATTGTATATTTTGTTTGGCAATTTGCAATAGAACATCATCATTCATGTTCTTGTTCTACTGTTTCTATATCTTAACATGGCCGCCGGGGATTGAAGGCCGGTTATAGAAAGTGTACCGGAAATCATGTGAAAAAAAGAGGCACGGTACGGGATTAGAACCCGCGACCCAAAGCGTCGTATAGACAAACCTTACCACTAGGCCACCGTGCACTTATGATTCAGGTCCCGCCGATACACTTTTATTTAGGTTGATAACGTGATGNGGTCCCGCCGATACACTTTTATTTAGGTTGATAACGTGATGTGCGGCTGAGGGAAACACGGTTCCGTGTCAATCTTATAATAGAATCACTTATGGTTATAAAAATTATGATTATTAAAAATAAAAATTTTAGAATGTAATAAATTAATTCAATTTCATTTTTTTAAACCAGTCAGTTTTTCAGTCCTAAAAGATTGTGTTTTGTAATATTTGTTTTGTATTAAAATTTTGTACTTATTTATGTAAACTTATTATTTTATATACAATATAGTGTATAAAATACATAGATTAATTCATCTGTACTTGAGCCATTTTTGCGTATAATTAAATAAATGTAAGTTATAGTTAAAAAATATATTTTAGCATAGATGAATAAAAATGTGTAAAATAAAATTATAAGATAATTTAATACTACAATTCATTATCTGTGCACACGATATTTTAATTAAAAAAGAATATAAACACAATTTTTATCATAGGTTTTTGTTAATTGCGCTTTACTTTTTGCTCAGATATTAAAACAAAATTACTCATATCTGCTGAAAAAAATTAAAAATATAATCTTTCCAAAATATGAAAACAATTGGATATAACAAACGTAAATTATAATTTTATTATAACACATTCGATGTGATCTTTTGTTAAATCTCATATTATGAAAGTCTTGTTTACTTTACATGTCATCATTCATTTCTGGTCTATTCATTAATAAATCTAGCTAATAACTAATTATAATTAATTTGATTTTATAATAATTTTATTTAAGTATTTTTATGATTTCTTAAATGTTTCTATATTTCTATATTCACATAAACTTTTACGCATTTTTATGACATCTTAAATTATTATACATTTATATGGCTTGAAAATTTTAATCGATTATTATAACTTTTTTTTTCTTAAAACTGCCATAACTTTATCTTCTACTCTCAAATAGCCGCCGAAATTGAATAAAAAATGTAATTTTCGTACAAAAAATCACCTTTTATATGTTTTGGTACTTAAAACTTCCCTTACTATTTGGAAAATAAACGAACCAAAAATATTTTTTTATATAAATACCTTAGGTAGTTCCTATTCTTCATATTTTTTTGAAAATCTGACCCTTAACCTGCCCACAGGGGAGATTCGCTACTTTTGCATGAAAAGTTAACCTTTTCAACTTAACTTATCAACATGTTCTGGAAATACTGCGTTAATTATATATAAGTAAATTAAAACTTACTAGAAGTTAAAAAAAAAAATTGTCCCGACGATTTGTCTTTTATTTAATTTGAAATTTATTGATATTAGCTTCGATGCGAAGCTGAGAAGGTATTAATTTTACTATGATGTGTTTTTTTATTTTTTTATTTTTTTTAGCTTCGATGCGAAGCTGAGAAGGTATTAA